ATTTTCACTTTATAGATAAGAAAACTGACTCAGAAAGGCAAAGAACTTGCCCAAGGGACCATAGCTCATAACTGAAAAAAAGAAACTGTCTTAGGCTAAAAAACAAAAAAATCATAAAATGAACATCTTTCTCTATTTTTACTAAAATACATAAATGTGAATTTTAGGAAGAAGTTCCAATGTAATGCTAATTTCTCCCAAGTGTTTCTTACATTTATGAGAAATTTCAGCTATGGTGTTATATATTGTATGTGTTTATTCATGCTTTAAAGGTTATATTTCTGCTCTACATCTTTCTAAGTCTTTATTTGCAAATTTTTTCCTCACAGATATGTACTGGTCTGTTGGTTGCATTTTGAAACAAAATTGTTTAGTCTTCTCAGCCTGCAAGATTGCCCCATCTTAGTGCAATAACATGGAATCTCCACAATGACAGGAGCTCCTGTCCCCTGCATCGGTCATGGCAGAAGAGACACATGCTTCTCATATTTTGCATGCAAAATGCCACTGGTACTGGAAACCACTGTAAGGCTGTTGGCCTCATTTATTCCATCATACCTACTTTAACCCTTTTATCAGCAGGAGATAGAAATTTGAAAACTGTCCCCTCGCTCACTTCACACTCCCACAATTAACCACAAAAGCCTAAGGACCTCAGAACATCTCAAATACTTTAAAAAATTTGTATTGCCTCTGAAAATTTGAATAGAAAACAGAAGTTTTCACAGTCACTTTAATACTTACAAATTATTTCAACTCAATTTTGCATTGTAAATTCACAAATGTACCATTGACTCAATATGATAGTTACAATAGGAAATGTTTCCTTTTCAGTTTTTCCCTCAATCTGTACAATTACAGAGAATATAGACATAATTCTACCTACATTTAATTTTTCCCCACATTTAATTTTTTAAAAACATTCTTGTGTAAATATTGGTGCATCCTACTTTCCCCTTGCAGAGCTGTGAGCAGGTGCTGGAGTTGTAGTTTTGTACCAGTCAGCAGAAATTTTTCAAAAAATATATTGATGCTAAGATATCTACAACAACAACAAAAGATATCTAAAACGTTTCCCAAAATACACAAGAAAGTTTCAAGGCAGAAGCATGATGAGAAAATAAGGAGTCTAACTGACACAATAAAGCGAAGGTCATGTCATGTTTTATCCACCAACCCTGGTGCTTTTGACGAATGGGTAGATAGTGTGACTGAATTAGAATAGGCCGAAGCCAGTAAACCAGAGCTTCCTTCTTTCTTTCCCCTTGCCTATGTATAAATCTAGAGGAAAACAACCTTGGCAATCCAGAATAATCCAAAAACACTGTCGTCCTAGTTTCATAAAAAAGGTAGGAAGGCAGCACCATGAGCTGGAAAAAGGGCTTGTGTGCCTGACCCAAAGGCTGAGGTGGGGCTCCTGCCTCCATTCAGTAACACTTATGCAGGCCCCTCGCTGATGGAGGCCTCCGCTGTCCTAATACCTAGTTGATGGCAAGAAATAAAATTGTTTACAAAGACGTTTACACACTGTATCACATAGATTCTTCAGAAGTGTTATTTTCATTACAATCATCATTCCCATTCCAGAGCTCACTCCACTGAGCTTCGGGTTACTGTGTAGCTTTTCACACCACCTCGAATGAGATGGGCCACGGCCCATATCTGACACAATAATCCTACTTCTGAGCCTCAGCTTCTCTTTATTATTTTTGTGATGGGGAAAATGGAAAAGAGAAACACAGGGAGACAGTAACAGACAGAGAAAAGGTGATTCATCTGAAAAAGGACATATCTTTACGGTGCCAAAGGGAAGAAGAGAAAGAAGTGAAATGAATTCAGATAATTCATAAATAGATTTTTAAAGAAAGCCGACATGAGAGTCCTACAGACTCACCACGGTTTACCCTTATGGTAATTTGGGGTTACATTTTTTAAAAATCCTAAACCTACTCCTAAAGCTGCCAGCAGAGGGCTCCACGGTAGGCCCATTTGTTTTTGATTATGGGCTCCTGCATGGATTGGACAATATTCCTTTGATCTGAGGATGAAAAAAGGACAGTGTCATTAACTCTCTTTTTCGCCGTTATAAGTTGAAATAAGTATGAGTGGGAAAGGGAAACAGTAGAACCACGCAGGATATCTTGAAGCTCGTTTTCTCCAGCTCAGCGTGTCCGTAGCTTGGAAAAGAATACTGGCAAAGGGAAAACGAAACGATGACGAAAATTGGTATCGGACTTACTGTCCTAGGAAATCCAGAGTTGTTTCGCCTTTGCGTTTTCCTTTATTGAGTTCTTGCGGGCATCTTCTCCGTAAAAGAAATACAATAGATTGGGGGAGCAGGAGAAATGGGCTCAAGTTAGGGAAAATTATTCTCAGGAGAGGTTGTTTTTACTTATAGGTTTTTCGGAGGAGTTTGAAAAACTTGGATGTTGAAACAATTGTTTCTAAAATTAGTAGGTGTAGTAAGAGTGAACTTGCCAAAAACACTCTTAGCAATAAAACATTTTCAACCACCTCCCCAAATTACACAAAACGAAAATCGAGCCGCTGTTCAATTTGCTGCTACGAAATTCCGACAGAGGGCGCTGTTGCCCATTCAATGACGGGACGCTTCCTGGGAACGGTTTTCCTTGAAATTTCTAGGATTTTTGAATAATGCCCATGTAGAGAAACTAAGATTTTTTTATTATCATGATGCATTTTGAGATAGTTCTCTACATGTGTGCATGTGTGCATATATATTTTAGGTTTGTGTTTCATACTCATAAAACCAGATTGATTTTTAATTTTTCCTAAAGAATTTTGGTAAATTTTAACAAAATATTTCAAGACATTTCTACTTTTTAAAATACCTAATAGTAGCAGAAAGTAAAATTACATATGGAAAATTTGAAATTATACATATACATGTCTATAAAATGTTTATGTTAACACTATATATTTTTAAATAGTTTTATAGAAAGTATTATCCCTCCAGGTTCTTTTATTAAGCCTTAGTGCTTATTTCACATTAGTCAATAATACATTAAAAGGTGATAAAATGTATTAACAGCATTTACAGAATAAAATAAGCTTTTCTAAATGCTAACTTGGGTTGAGACAATATTTAGATAATAAAGATAAGGAGTTGTTGATTTGAAAGGGAGAAGACAAGTATTCACAAATAAATATGTATCTGGAGAAACTGAATTTCCAAGGATGTAATATTTATCTTAAAAATATTGAACTGACTGATTTCAGCTCTAGGAGGAAGGTGTAGAATCCCTTTCGAATCTTCAAATCTCACCACACAATGAGACCAGAAAGAAGGTCTTCCCATCCCCTAACTACCCTGGCGTGGGGATAGGCTTCTAATGGGAAACCTAAACAGTCTGTGTGATTTAAGGTGTTGTATTAAAAGACAGGAAAGAAAGGAAGGGAGGGAGGGAGGGAGGAGGAAGGAAGAGGGAGGGAGGAGGAAGGAAGAAGAAGAACAAGATGAAAAGAAGGAGCGAGAACTGGAAATGAAGAGAGGTTTATTCCTGAAGTTCTTTCTGAAGCATCTTTGTGTTCCTGCCATTTGACTTATGGTACAAATTAAATTAAAAAGCAGTAGAAATATTTATTGTTCACCATACGAAGCATCTCCTCGGTGTTTGTCTAATCAGTGCCCGCGCTGTGATCCAGAGCCCTCCTCTCGAGGACCTTGGGTCCCGGTTCCAACACAGCAGTGCAAGGCACCCGGGTTTTAAAGACAATCACCCTTCACAGACTCACTCTTATCAGGTTTAATAACTTCCACCCTGAATTGCTCCAACCCTCCTCATTCCCTCTTGTCATTTATTTTCTGCCCCAAAGGCAAGTATCTTGCTCTGTGCTTTCCTTGCGGCTGTAGGGAGCCTTCTGCACTCTGAAAGGGAGAGGAAAAACAAAAGGGGTGGAAAAAAGAGAGAACAAGTGAGTCTCTACTTCCGATGAAATTCACAGCTCTGTGTCTCGAAGAGTGCTTATTTATAAGGTTTGGTTAACTTCGTTCTTGTTGTTTGTGCTTTCCTAAAATAAACTATACAAATCACTCTTTTAAGAAAAATATTCTAAAGAAAAACCTCTGTGTGTCCTAAAATGTTTTGTCATTATCTCTTTGAAGCATATTCAGCTTAAACCTTCTGAAAGATCCAGGTGCCCATATCTTATGTCTCCTTGATTAAAACCACTGAAAGTTATAGACAGCAGATGCAAACAAAAAAAAATATCCTAGCCGCTGTTAAGAAGGCTCAAAATGAACATTCTGTGAATGTGAGCATATGTTGCCTACAACCTCTGAGAAAACTTCATAAAATGGAGACTCCAGCCAAGAGAAATGGCGCATGGAATCCGTTTAAAATACACACAACAGCCCCTAAAGCAACAAGCAGTATAGACGAAGGTGTTCTACAGTATTTAAGTTTCCAAATGTGTTGAGCAAAATGACTAAAATATTGGAACCAGTCACTGTGGTGGCCAGCTTTTTTGTTCTACACTGACAGAGGTAGTAAAAGTTTTTAAAATAAAAAGTTACAAAGCTATCAACAGAGAAAGACCTTGAAATAATTGAATCCTGGTTTCAAAATAACTTTCTCCTGAATATATGTGAATCCAAGATTTGTGTTTTAAAATATCGATGATGATCTCCCCTTTAAAATCTACATTAAAAATCAGGGGACTGATAGTCTCTAGCTTCTCATTATGAATTGTTAAAGACTTTAGTTAGTGGCTACAATGATTCATCATTTTCAATATAGAGGTTTTAAATGTGTGTATTCATATTAATCACCCTGAACAGCTATCTCTTTTAAATGCACCTTTAGAGTCTGTAGGGTCTGTGTGACCCAGAGGTGCTTATATAACTAAATGTGAGTATCTCCGTGAAAATACGTATTTCTGATTTTTATAATATATATGTCTGTGGGTTGCATCTAACTCTTGTGTGTGCAATAATGTTTTTCTGCCTGCTGAGGTTTACTTCTCCAGCCTATTGTTTGAGACAACAGATATAAGTTGCGATGGGAGAGGAGCGTCGGATTTGGTGTGTATTCCCCATTTCCAATTATAGATGGATCATTACAGACAGCGGAGTCCTGAGAAGCCAGACATCTGCTCCTCACATGAATGCACTCACCTCCTAGAGACCAGGCTGCCATCATGCTCTGGAAGCTCGTGGAGAATGTCAAGTACGAAGATATCTATGAGGTGAGCCCACACCCCCGATGCATTTTAGAGCTTTGCAGATAGAGAATTTGAGCTTCTTGACAACCCAACTGATATATATTTTTAAGCTATTTACTCATAGATTTCTGGTTGGTTTTCTCAGCTTCTGTAACTTTTAGGCTAGCTGGCCCTGGGAGACTTTACTGTTCTGAAAGAGGACTTTAAAGGGGGAAATCTGGCAACTTTAAAGTAGAGAGATTTTTTTTTTCCTTTTATTTTGCTATCTTTCTTCCTCTCCTCCGTTTGGGCGACAGAGGGGAATGTGGTGCTACTGCATGCAGACTGTCAGGGGAAAACAGATTCTGCTAAGCGCAGGGGCTCTCTTCATTCCGAGTACGGGCGAGGACTGGATTTTCAAGCCTCGTTCGTAGAGGACTGGGACTTTTACATTTTTATTTTAGTAATATTTGTGAGATAGCAACAACCGCCTCCCTGTGGAGAGCGGGGAATCAGAGGGAGAGAGGTAAAGGGACGAGTGTGTGGATGGACGGAGCACAGGGAAGGGGCAGTGGCGGACCGCTGTTTTGTTTTCGGGTGTTTTGCTGCTCCGCGGGTCAGCGGGTCCCGACCGCGACCGCGGCGCCGGACGCGGCGTCTCTGGCCGAGTCTCCCGCCGTCTCCGCCTCCTCCGCGCTCGCGGTGCCTTAGCGGCCCCGGCGACACCGGCGACACCGGCGACACCGGCGGGCCCGCGACCCCGCTGCAGCGTGGAGAGGCGGGGAGAGCCCGGGAGCGCCAGAGGCAGGGAGGAAGCGAAGCTCGGCGGAGACGTCGAGGGAGGGAAGAAGGCAGGAAAGCTGGGAGAGAGCGGAAAGAGGAATCAAAAGGGCGAAGAGGAGTAGGGAAGGAGCAAGGTCGACTCGGAAGAGCGGAGCGATGGACGCTGCGAGGCGCAAAGCTGCCGCGGAGGGGAAGGCGGGCAGCCGCTCGGGGCAAAGCTCGTCGGCTCGAGGAGCGCGGAGGCTCCGCAGGGCCCGAGGACGCCGACCCGGCCCAGCCCCGAAACGCAGCCGGGAGGGGAGGGAGTGTAGGTGAGAGATGACCGAGACAGGGACCGAGCCCCAGACCGGGGAGTGAGAGGCCGGGACGCGGCGAGCCCCGGGGTCCCCTCTCCCCTCCGCGCCCGCGTTGGGCTGTAACCCCGGCCGCGCCTCCAGGCCCGGTGGAGTTTATTTCGGCTCTGCCTCCTTTCCTTTCTTCAACAAGCGGGATAATGGTAACGTCGAGGGCGGACAGAACTCCCCAAAGCTCAGCGCTCCGAGTGTCCGGGCCCTGGTGGAGTGCGGCCCGGTGCACAGGACTCCAGGTCAACTTGGAGAGATGAAAGTGCTCGGAGTGAACACTCGTTCTTTCTTCACGAAAAATAAGCGGCTGAACGGGGAAGGAGGGAAGGCGAGAAGGAAGAAGGGAAGGAGAAAGGAAGAGGGAGGAGTGAAGTGGTAGGGGTAGAGAGGAGAGAAAAGAGGAGGCCAGCACCGGGGGAGGGGGTATTGAAGCTATTCCTGGCTGCCTAAATTTTCTGCTCAAAAACCCGGAGAAACCCGCAGCGTGGTGGAAGGAGCCTATTTAAGTCTGGACTGAGGTTGAACTTTAACCGAAATGGCAGTCAGGCCAGTTAAACGGGTTCCTGAAACACCCAAAAAGGCTTTCTGCTGCCCCTGGCTTTGCGGGAAAGGAGAAGTTGCGCTTACTTGAAGACTGAAAGCGTGTATTTTAAACCGACGTAAAAACCGCATCCTGCAGGCTCTATAGAGGACGGGGCTGCGCGGGGACGGGAGCCCCATCTCGTCTCTGTCCTTTAAAATAGGTGCCTAGCCTTCCACGTTCAGCAGAAAGTCTGCCCAGGTCACAGCAAGCAGCCGGCTCCACTTTCCTCTCCCCTCCAAATGACAAGGCCGTGCCTTTTTATTTTGTTTTGAAATCTGCACACAAAGCGTCCAGGGCAATCCCTTCGTCCCACTGGGAAAGTCTCCTTGCGCGCAGGACACCTACACGGTGCGCAAGTCCTGCTGCGGCTTTCTCACTGCCTGGCCCAAGGAGCAGAGGCTGCTTTGCGCGCGTCCTGGCTCAGTTAATTGAAGTTCTGCCTCTTTGCTGCTAAACTTTCTCCCCAGCCTGCCTCTGCCAGCCCCCTCGTCTGATTACATCTAGTAATTCTCCACTGAATGAACGTCACTTACAATAGTGGGGAGCTCTGCGCTCGCCGCTGCTTCACGCTCCATTTGTCCTCCATTCTCCCTTTAAAGTACTCGTGTAATATTAATAGTCATGAATATCAATTATTATGAGGCGGTAGCGGAGGGAGGAAGGGGCGCCCGAGCAGTCTGAGCCCAGCTTCGGGCGGAAGAGGACTGTATGTGGAGCCCCAAAGAACGGCAGAAGAAAAGAGGCCAAAAAGACACGAAGAGACAGATGAACAGTTCTGTCCGTGTGTGACGGGCATCGCCAGTCTTGTCGGAGGGGGGTAATTTTTTTTTTTTTATGGCTTGTCCTGGAAACACCTCAAGGTCGGCTCTTGTGTCCAGCTCTCCTCTCTGCTGGACTCCTTGATTTTTTTTTTTAAACCATTGTTTGATTTTGAGCAGTAACCAGGCTTTTTTTTCCAGATGTTAGTCCACACCTATTCATCCATGGTGAGTTTGGATTCGCATTGTACCAGAATTGCATGCCCTCTCTTCTCACTGTCTCTCTGTCTCTGCATCTGTGTGTGTGTGTGTGTGTGTGTGTGTGTGTGTGTGTGTGTGTCTCACTCGGTCTCTCTGTCTTTCTTTGAGCGCCTTTGGCTTGGTAATTTAGCACCATAATTGGAGGAGGCTGCAGCTGCTTCTCTCTGTATTATGTGTTCACCGTTTGAGCTCCGTGAGTCAGCTGGGAGAGGGGGGAGGCTGAACCAAAAAACTTTGTACTTGTCATTGCAGTTTGGAAATTTAGGTGACTGTTTTGGCAAAAAGAACCATGGAGATTTTACCATGGCACTTTCACAGAGGAGAGGGAGAAACTAAAAGCACCCCCAACACCCACCTCCCCCTTCTCCTTTCACTGGGTCACACTCCAGAGAGGACCATCAATAAGTTGTCTGGGCTTTTTCCCCCTCCCAACTTTAGGTCCTTCATTTTCACACCCTGAAGTATAATAGCATTTGATACAGAAAAGCAAGCTTAGAAATAACTCCTGCAAACCACAACTCAATCTAACATGGAGTTATGATATGATTTTGAATCAGATCCATTTCAATCAAACACTATTTAAGTTATTTCATTCTTTCTGAGGAAAGGAGGGTGGCTGAGAAGTCAAATCAGGCAGCTTCCTTGGAGCTCCAAAGGTCACCAGGTTAGGCAAGGAGCTCCAGATCAGCCAGCTGCATTGCCAGTGAAGATGCAAGTTGGTTTTCTAACAAGGGAGAGCAGCACAGCAGATTCTATGAAGTTTTATTTGTTGTGCTTTGAATCCCTGAAAGACTTAGGGAAAAGGAGCCAAGCACCCAGAAGAGCAGACATCATATGTAAGACTCCTCAGGCATTTGGTATCCGGTCCACAAAGTTCCTTTACCTTTGACCCCTTTGCCTGCTTTGTACTCCCCAAAGAAGCTTCACTCACAAGTGTGGGTGACCCTCCTTTTTCTCCCCAAAGCCTCCCATTTGGATTTGTGGAAATCATGTGGCCCTGAGTCCACCAGGGGTCTGAGTTTTAGACTCTTTCGCCCTGTCCCCGGAAGGGTATAAGTAAGCCGGGCTTCTCCATTTGTGTTTCTTTCCTTCTCTCCCTCCCCCCTCCCCTCCCTCACTCCTGCTCCCAGGACCGGCACGATGGCGTCCCGAGTCACAGCTCGAGGCTCTCTCAGCTGGGCTCCGTGTCCCAAGGACCCTACTCCAGCGCCCCGCCACTGTCCCACACCCCGTCATCGGACTTCCAGCCCCCCTACTTCCCGCCCCCCTACCAGCCGCTCCCCTACCACCAGAGCCAAGACCCCTACTCACATGTCAACGACCCCTACTCCCTGAATCCACTGCATCAACCCCAGCAGCACCCCTGGGGACAACGGCAGCGGCAAGAAGTGGGCTCGGAAGCCGGCTCTCTGCTGCCCCAGCCTCGGGCAGCCTTGCCTCAGCTCTCAGGCCTCGACCCCAGGAGGGACTACCACTCGGTCCGCCGGCCGGACGTGCTGCTACATTCGGCGCACCACGGCCTGGACGCAGGCATGGGCGACAGCCTCTCCTTGCACAGCCTCGGCCACCCTGGCATGGAAGACGTCCAGGTAACCATAAACTAAAAAGAGGATAATGAGGAATACCCCCGCAGGGGCAGGGGAAGGGTTGGGGAAAGGTAGCTCTGTCTCCTTGGAGAGAAGTTGTTCTCGTCTTTTAAAACAGGACCAGCGGGACAGGACTTATGTTTGTCTATAAGTATATATGGGTCTGCAGTGGTGATTTCTGAAAGTTCAATTATGAAAGCCATAAGCACTAGAACTTAAATCACGAAGGAGATAAAGAAGAATATTTTGATACTTTACAATCACTAGAATCAAGGCTAGCATTTTTGTCCTGCCTCAGCTATCTGACTCCTATTCTCTATTGCTTTGTGTGAACAGGCTTGGTAACCTCACACACACACACACACACACACACACACACACACACACGCGCGCGTGCACGCGCGATTGCACACATACACACGTACACCCACGCAGATCCCACAGGGGCTCCTCCCACAGAATTGGCAGGTGAAGGCCTGGCTGCCTAGAGGCCAGGACTCTAGCGCTGAGGTGCAAGGCCCCTGCTAGTCTCAGCAGTCCCTGCCAGATTTGCAAGGTTTTGCTAAGCATGACTATGCACACTGGAAGAAAGTCATGAGCTACGTTGGTTTGTCTTGCTCTTAATGTCTCATACACCAAAGAGCCCTTTCCAAATAGACACTACCTGAAAATGGAGTATTTGTAGAGAGGACAGACCTGGAAGGCCACAGTTCAGCTTGTGAGTCCATGAGGACAGATACCATTTTGGAATTATTTTCACTTTTGGGTCCATTGAATGATAGTAGAGTAATATTCTCCACCTTCCCTCCTCCGTCCACCCCTCCTCCCATCAATACTCTCCTTTCCCCATTGCCACCAGCCCTTTTGAAGAGGCATCACGTGTTTATTTCTTAAAACAAAAGGCTCAAAACACTCCCCCTACCCACCCACTATCCCATCTGCAACCTACACAATGGAGCCTGATTTGGTTGAGAATAGTTGGTTAAATTAAACAAAGAAACATCAAAGAAATGATTTCTAAAAACTGTCTGGGTGATTCTGAGCAAGTCTCCTTTTCTCCTCTGATTTAAGTAGTTTCCAGAAAAAAATGAATATGATTGAATGATATTTAATTGGCACTTCGATCTCATTGGCATAGTTGTATATATCAGGCGTCATTTTAGACATACTTGTGAAGCAAGGAAAAATAAAATAGAAAAGGGATGCACAAATCATTTTCATCTTGCTAAAAAAATATGTTTTTAAGCATTTAAAATGTAGTGATAGAGTCACATGCTGTCTGTGTGTGGTCTATGATCCATTTATTGTTTTAAAGAGTTTGGTTATTTATTATTTTTAAAAAGAACAAAATCATCTGATTTGTGGCTAGATTTACCTATAGTAATCAGTGATGGTTTTGTTGACTCAACTGAGATTGTCCCTGTTTGGATATATTGCTCATTTCAAAATATCATATGAGAAAGGAGAATATTAAATAGTTTTCTTAATGCATTGGGGTAATATGTGTCTCAGGGGGAAAGTTTTTAAATTAACCTTTCTGAGTATGGTTCAAAGTGCTGGATAATGAAAGTGGATCAACTCATCACCATCACTGTTGGTGTGGCAAACACCAGCCTCATCACCACTACCCTGCTTGCTGGCTGAGGGGCTTAGACAATTGAATTCAGGAATTCTTCCCCCTGAAGAGGGAGCAGATTGCTTTGGGTTTAGTTTTTGGGTATTTTGTTTTGGTTTGGTTTGGTTTTTTTCCTAATGACAGAACTGTCAGGAGATTTACTGTTACCAAAGTGTCAGAAAGGATTTAGGATGTGTGAACAGAGAGCAGAGGCTGAGTTGTTGCTGTCTAGTGTAGATGCTACAGAGGTGGAGAGAGCCCCAGAGAAAAGAAAAGTAGCAGGCCACAGCCCTGGCCCTTTCAAATCTCCTGCCCATCCACTTCCTTCCCTGTTCCTCCTTCAGCTTTATCCCAGCACAGGGTGAGGGGGAGGCTTATGGACCTCAGCAGATGCTCAGTGCAAAGGACTGCAGGGGATATATACACCCATCTTGTCCTTGGAGGGAAAGATCTGGGGCAGGTAAGGTCCCTGTCTCCATCTTGATGGCAGACCTCCTGAGGCCAGGGGGAGGTTGACAGGACACTGGGAAGGTAACAAAGACAAGTGAGCATATGTATGTAGGACCAGACATCCAAATCCAGAGACTGTCCATCCAGAAGATCTACTTTCAAGTTAGAGATCTGGAACGCAAGGACCAAAGTTACACAAGCTGCTTAGGGGTTTCAACATTCTCTGAAGCGAGGGTTCAAATGGGTTGGCTGCACCTGTCCAGCCATTAAAAGGAACAGGAGAGTGCCTGGGCCTGGACCTCCAAGGCACTTGTTCCATCTCCAGGGTCTGCTGTGTGTTCCGAATACTCCCAGCCACAGGCCAGTCAGCCCCTGAGGGTGCTGCCCAGGCTGGTGGGTCCAGGCTTGGGGGATGTTGTGCGACCCAGAGGCACACAAGCAGGGCCACCGCCCCGCGAGAGAAGAGAAGGAGAGCTAATTAACCAAATGCTTCTAATATTTTTTAAATGAAACTATAAAACCCTGTCAATTTCTATTTCAATTTACTCACAGGGGCTATTAAACTAGCAAATCACTGTTTGGGTTCCTGGTATGGTACATTTCACCCATTGTATGTGTGGGGGGGGGCATGAGGGGCAGTGCTTAAAAACTAAGAAAAATGGGCTACGAAAAGGCAGGGAAAGCAAGTGCGATGACACCTAGTTCAGGATTTGTTTAGTTGCCGTGTCTTCCTCTCTTTCCACCCATCTTTGCTGTCTAATCTCTCATCACCTCCACCACCCATGAACGAAACCTATAAACATGCTAAGTCAACCCCCAACACACACACACAGACACACACATTCTCACACTCAAACACACCCTTGTGTTTTAAAGCAACCCTTGGTATCACTTTTAACTAAAGAAATCTAGTAATTACGAGTCTGAGTTGTTTTTCTGCGCTTCCGCATGCAGTCCTAATTAAATCTTTACGATCCTCCCTGTGACGATTAAGCGCCAGCATGCTGCGTGAATATCCTGTACAAAAACCCAGCAGGCGGCCGTAATTAGATAGAAAATCAGACAAGAGCCTTCTCATTAACTACCACAACTACCCCACGTCGCTGATGAGGCGTGTATACATATTTACGCACCGACGTGCGGGTGAGGTGTGAACTGCCGCCCCGGCCCCGTACGAGCGAGGCCCGCTGTGTGCGACGGTCCCGCGTGGGCCCAGCCGCTGCGGGCCGCGACACTGCCAGGGCGAAGCAGGGACTGCAGCGTGTGCGTGGCGTGGCGCCCCGGGGAGTTACTGACAAGTTACAGGAGATATTTTTTAAAACACCTTTTCACTATTTCTTCAAATGTGCGCGGCATGTTGCTGCACGGAAAATAGTCTTCACCTTTCTGAGAATATAAGAGGGACTGTTAAAAACGAAAAGAAACAAACGAGCTTGTTCCCTTGATGATTAGATCATCTCATTTCCCAAGCTGGGCTTGTTTGGGGTAGACTCTGTTTTGGGGCGATGAACGCACACCCTGGCTGGGGCTGCAGAGCGAGTGGGTGGGCAGGTCTGTGAGAGAGCTCTTCCCTCTCCAGCCTTTTGCTCTAAGCTTCTCCACAGAGAGGGGGTCAAACTGGTCCAAGCCTAAGTTCCTACGGATCAAGAAAAGCCCTGGTCCACTTCAGAAAGACTAGGGGAGGAGGGGTAGGGAGGGGTGGAAAGGCAGCTGCGTTTGGACACCCTGGGGCTCACAGCCAGAAGCACTGTGCTCAAGTGCAGCGGATAGTGAGAGACCCCACCCTCTATTTGCCCCCAGAAGTGCTGCCAGTGCTCAGGATTCAAACTTCCCTTCCTGGGGTGACAGTGCAGCATGGAAGACGCAGGTCGCCTGTGACTCCCTAGGTGCGGACTGGGAGGACCCAGGTTTTTGTGTGTCTGTGCCTGTATCTGTACTGCTGCTTTCCAAACAGGTGTGCTCCTCGCAGGGAATCAGCATCAGCAGGGCTAGGAGGGGAAGCCTCGAGGCAGCTCCTCCGTGGACTGCGATCGTGCGGCCCGCAGCTCGGAGCTCCCAGGGAGGCACAGATTGCAGTGGGTGTGCGGTCCTGGAGCCTTGCAAACGCTCCTATGTGTTGCTGTTGGCATTCCATTCCAAATTGCTCAGGCTTTAATTAAAACCCCATAATGTAAACTATTATGTATTTGTAAAATGGCTCTGAGGTTAAGATGCACCAGGAGAGAATGGAAAACAAAATTTGCTCTTAACTAATATTGGTGAAAATCTTTAAGCTGTTGCCAAACTTTCACAGTTCATAACAGCAAATAATATAAATGCTTATATGTCTATGTAATATCGATGTTTATATAATAACGAACCAATATTGCATCCCAGATGTCTCTCATAGTTTCCTTTTCCCTTTTCTTTCATTGGAAGAATTTAAAATTTGGGTGAATTTCATTTCCATGTCGATTTGGAGGTAATAATGATAATAATAAAACCTCATTGTGAATTAATATAAATGGAAATAACAGAAACTCCAGTATAGCATGACATGATTTATGTGTGTAATTCTTTAATATCCAGTCAATTTGAATAGTGATGTTTTTATATTCGCAGTCAGTTGAAGATGCCAATAACAGCGGCATGAATCTATTGGACCAGTCTGTCATTAAAAAAGGTATGGATTTTTCCTCCCAAAAGTAAGCAAAGTTTTCCTGTGCTTTAATGTCTTTATGATGAGCTTTCACTTTGGGGAAATTTAATATTTTATAAGTGTTTGTTCACAGCCCTAGTGCAATCAGACTAGTGCTGTCAGACTAAGGTAAAGGGCATTTCAGGAACAAGGAAATGGGGTAACAGGGAATGAAAAACTGCAGACAGAAACCCAGATGAGAGAAATGGAAGGACACAAACAATTCCCATTTCCCTATAATACATATGGTAGCCATTCTAGATGCATCTTAAATGAACTATCACCATGTGTGGAATTGGCTGGGAAACACTGGTTTCAAAACTGTGTCATAATTATTTCATTGATAACTGAAATATATTGAGCTAAAGTATGTCATTGAGACAGCTTCTTTTTTTCTTGTTTTTGTTTTGATTTTTTGGTAGTAATTGTGTTTCTAGTTCTCTGTGCGTTGTTCCTTTTTATTACTATTTGTAATTGAGCCAAATGTTTCGCTAAATGTGCGCATCCTGAGAAGCTGAGACAGCCTAGGCACGTATCTAAATCTTCCTACACACGCACACATGATTTAGTGTGACTGTGGAGTCACCCCATACTGTTAAAGGGCATGTGATATTAACAAATGTTTGCAGTCTCTTGTACAGCTGTAAGCAAAATAATTAACTAATTAAACTAATTAAATGTAATTACAATAACTCATTTCAGGCGTATTGCAGCTGCTTAATTTTTTTCCTCTTCTCTGACAGTCACTGAGAGAATGCCTGGCAATAAGTGTGGCTCCTGAAAGGCCTGAATGTCACTCACATGCCACAAATTTAGAAGCCTGAATGTGTAAACACTGCAGTCTTTAATTATCACAGGAACTGGTGTTTGAAAACACAGTTTTAACTACTGTAATCCTTTCTTCTGGATGCTAGAGGAAGCCTGTCCCTATGTTTGGTGTCAACAATCCCAAGCTTCAGTCATTTATGATTCACTTGAGCCACTTGACATTGACAAAAATAATTAAAAGAAAAAGAAAAGGTGCTTTGAAAAGCAATCCATCCCTATTCAAATTGTAATAGAAGGATTGTAGCATTGCAGAAAGGGTGGGACAATCTAAATTTTCTTCTTTTTTGAAGGCAGGCGAAGTAGTTTTGAGAGGTGGGCAGGATGAGCAGTACTTGAGATGATGCAGTTCGGCTTAAAATGAATGTACTGAAAAATACTGAGGTTTGGAGAAAAGTATTTATTTTAAATGTTGTCCTGAATGTCTCTCCCTCTCTTCTTTAGATAGTATCTTCTCGGTTTTCAATGCCAACTTTTGGGTTTGCTAGGATACTCACGTGCTGAAACTTGGAACTGTACTGACAGCTCACTTTCACCATCTCCTCCTGGGTCTTCTCTTTTGGTTAATTGCTGGTTGATTGGGGTGGGGTGAGGGAGGAGCTTCTCCATTGGCTGTTTTGTTTTGTTTTGTTTTAGTTCCCTTTCCTTTCAATGGAAAGCTCAAACCACTTAGCTCAGGGCTTGTATCCTAGCAACATCTTTTGGGGCTGGCAGTAGGACATGCACAACAGATGACCAATCAGAAATGTTATTAATAGTCAGGCCAATAAAAATATTTCAAAGTTAGCTTGCCTAGCAAAATGGAGCTGAAAATATTCTTAGATGTGGGGTAGTTTGGTTGCAGGGCTTGCATATGTTTGTCAGCAAAAAAAGGTGAATATTTGTAAGATTATCTGTGGGAAGAAGTGGAGAATAATGACTAAAGTTGCAGGTTCTTCTTTGGAAATGCTGAAGTATCTTTCATGTCCTCAAAATCTTTTCAGAAAGGTACATAGCTTAAAATATCTAAGTAGGACCCCTGCCACTTTAATTGATTCAGGGAACAGGATAAGAATATGAATGTTAGGTCAATTCCATTATTTTGTATTTGAGATATTTGCTTTTTTACATGAAGAAAAGATCCTAATATATTTTTATCTTTAAAGAGCCTTAGGCAAAAGTAGGAATAAGTGATTGATTTATTCTTTCTAACTTGCCACGAACCACTTAAAATAAAGCTATGGGTTCACTTGCCTCATCCCTGCCCCCTGGTCTCCCATCTTTGCCAACCCCCTTCCCCATGGGGGATGTTGCTATGAAATTGATTTTGTAAAAGAGGTTAGAATGTTTTCTGGATATTCTAAATTTCAACAACTGGCAGGGGACTTAGTTGCTGAATTTATTTTCTAATAGGCTTTTAGACAATTTTTAAAAAAAAATTCTCACTCATTAATAAAAGGCCAACAATTGGTCAAGGTTTGAATGTTTCTCTCTGCTTCTACATTTATGAAGCCAGAAGACTTGGTCATAAAAGATCTCTGTCTCTCTCTCTCTGTCTCTCTCTCTCTCAGTTTCTCTCTCTCACTTTCTCTCTCTCTCCCCCTCCCTCCCTAATTATGGCAAGGCCCTTCCTAAAATTCAACCAGTCTAATTTTTCACTCGTGTTGATATCACCCGATAGATTATAGGCTCCTTCTCATGTTATGTTTGCTATCTGGGCTTAGCTGACATTTCTGAAGTAATTTAGTTAAGAGGAAATGAGTTGTTCCCAGTAGAGAGAGCAAACGAGTGGAGTGAAGGTAGCCAGCGTGATAAATGGCTCTTTCATTTGAAGATCTCCAGAGCTCGTTTAAGGCTAATTTTCTGTATTGGCCCCCTTTGAGCTATTAATGCAATCGGCAGGGACCGTGGCCCCTCTCTTCTTAGCTGCCCCATTAGAGCTCCCATTAAGCAGCCTAGTCTCAACTCTATGGCAGGAGTGTGTGGGGGGGGCGCGGGGCGGTGTAGTAATGAAAGGTGCTTTTTAAACTCTCCTAATCTAAACCGGCAGAGGGTGGTTAATACGATTTGAAGGGGGCTGGTCAATGAGCAATCAATAAAGTAATAATGAGAAGGATTCGGTACATTAACAGTCTAAAAATCCAACAAGACATTAAAAAATCATTCTTAACTCTCAGTTCCATTAAGATTAGGAATCTGGGAGGGGGTGCCCAGCTAATATAAATGATCATCACCATCACCATATAGCCTAACTAAAAAAGGCTTACCTAGGCTTTAATAAAAAGTTTTTGATGTCATCAGAGGCCAGTATGCAGTCTTTTTGACAGTTTAGCAGCAGAAAATATGCTGGGATTTCTTGGAAAGGCTAGCATGGCTGGAGTCCAAGGTTCAAATGTTGTGACTGTGGGGCATTTTTATTGGTTTTAGGAATATCCTGTTTGCTTAGTTTCAGTTCAACCTCCATTCTCTCCCACTTTTTTTGCCATTAGTTCTGGGCCCTTACCCACATAAACACTTTGGTTGATGTGAATTTTCATGGGGAACAGGGATAAAAAATTTTCCAAATTTCAATTCCAATGGGTTCCTGTGAGATTCTTCCTTTTTGCATAGAAGTGCCTGTCCTAGCCCCATAAAGATTTAGGTTTCCTCTCAAAGGAAGAGGCTTGCATTTTCAGAATAATTTGGATCCCAATAGCTATTTATCAACTAGAGACCCTGAGATACAATCCACCTATCCATGGAATGATCAGAGTTCCCAGAGTTCTAAAACTGGAAAGGTTAAAATACTGTTCTCCAACTTCCCAAGTACGGAAATCCTCCAAGTGTGGAGACAGGGAAATAAATGGTAAGTGATTCATTAAGGTCCCATATACCAAGTGATGAGACCCATCTTAGTTTTCAGCTTCCCAGACTCTGTGCTTAAAGGATAATGCTGAACACTTGTAATTTTTATATTATAGCTTTCTTTGTGGGAATTCTTTTATTTTTCTTTGCACGATTTCACTGCTCACATTTATACATTCACTACACATGTAGAATAAAATTTAGCCCTCCAGAGATGAGGAATGATGTAAATATGAGGAAAGCGTTCTTCATTTTTAGAAGTCTAAATCACTGTTAAACCTTGTTCTTGTTCCCCTATTCAGTTCACATACCTAAGTTGGAATCCCTTTCAGAGAGACTCACTGTATCATCAGAGAGTCTCATCTATCAGTATATAAGACAGCTTTGTTTCTATTTTTTCCACCAGCAGATCTTGTCACTTAAGAGTAAAAAGTAGAGATTAAAAGCTATTCTGTTCACCCTTTAGCTCTGTATTGTCCACTAATGAATAATATTCTCTAAACATTTTTCTCTCTTAAAACTCCACGCATTGTAAAGAAATACTGATTGGCTTTTAAACCTGCTTTTTTCTTCTCACTAGCCTAAAGGGCAGTGTTACATCCAGAAGTTGGCCTTGCCATCCAAATGAGAATCAAAGAAGGGAAATCACTTTTAATATATGCACAGAAAATTGTAAACATGTAAAGAACAGAAAGCTTCATGCTGGGTTTTGCAATGCTTCATTTCCTTACCATTTCCTGCTGTCGCTTTAACCCTATCTCAGTCATCTCTAGGTTCCGTGAGCAGGAACAGTGTGCTCATAATTACTAACAAATCAACCGGGCCCTGTTGCTCTCTGGGTTTATTGATAAGCTGGAAGAAAGTAGAAAGGAAAAGACAAAGAGAATAAAATACGGGGTTAATCAGCTGAACTAAGCAGGTGTGAGAGTGGAGGGGACAGTAGATAATCACAGGGCTATGGACCTAAAGGAAAGAGGGGACAAGAAATGTGTAGTGTCTAGTTTTGGGGACCAATACTGAGTCAGGTGGGAGAAAAATTTAGAACCTGAGGATGTAAGAGTGTGAGGACAGGATTTTGCTACTTAAATTAGAAAATGGAAATATAATCTGAATCACATTTGCTCATATTGTCTGTGATTTGGGGGGGGACCTCCCCCAAGACACAGTATGTGGATAGAAGCTGGCTTGATTGGGGGTATTTAGGTGATAATGTATATGCAGAGAGATACAGCCCAGGGGTTGGAGCAATATACAGTCCCCAAAGGAAACAGCTCTTGTCAGGTAAATCAGGCAATTAACAATAGTGAAATTAGAGGGTAGGTTATAAAGTGTCTCTAAAGGCCTAGCTTTTCCAGAGATTTGGCATGTGGGACTGGAGAAACAGGTAAAATTCCAATATTTGGTTATCCAGTATAGGAAGCAGGAACTGAACTTAGTATTTTCAGCTTAGGGGAGATTTTGTTGTTGCTAAGATTTTTAAATATTATTTAAAGATTAAAATGTTGCTGAATATTAAAAATGAGATTTCTTTTTACAGTTTATTTCTGTAGTTCTCATCATATTAAAACTGAAGAGGGCCATCTATATTTTAGAGAAAATGTCTTCCCAAATGTACCTAATGCCAGTCTCATGAATATAAGTTGTTTGTTTATAGGCTTTGAATATGAATTTGAAATACAGAGTAAGAGATGCTGTGAAAAATATGATCGATTAAAAGGATGTGATACTGTGTATACAAGTTAAATGATAGTGTGGTTCCTCTCCAATCAGCCATTCAAGTGACGTTACAGACTAATCAAATCTGATTAATAATTTCAAGTTTTCATTGCTTGATTCTCATTTGGGAAGCAGCTTCACTAAAGAGAATATGAAAGGAATCGTACAGCAAGCCCTCTCTGCCCCTCTCTCCCCACTTTTGGATCAGTGCAGAAGATCCATTCTGGTAGCTCCTAACATCATACATACATCTATCTGGAACAAAGTCTTAGGCATGATGAACTCTAACACACCTATCAAGAAGTAGCAAAAGGGTCCCCATCAGTGTTCCCATTTAGCCCCCTGGAAAGCTCTTTTCCACAAGGTGTTTGTAAAGAGCCAAATACAATTCATGGTAAATAAAAAATTGGGACCTACTTGGCTTTTAGAAGTCTCTGAACAATCACAGAACCCTAAAGGTTGGAATCTGTGATAGAATAAATGGTTATAGAAATCCTATGTTCCTAGTTTATTCCATACAAAGGAGGTTATACATTTTTTTGACAGAATTCTAGATCCCAGATGGTAGAAAGAGGGTATCTTTTTGGTATGGGGTTAAAAGGTGAGACGGTTTTTATTCAAAAGATAGGGATGGAAATTTCTTTTTTCACATTAGATACATGTTTCAGGAAATTTCCTAAAGTAGTGAATTTGTAGTATAAAGACATGGGGGCCTCAAATTCCAAGGGAAGAAGCTTGTTTAGGGGACCAATACTAGGTTGGTAGGAGTAAGGGGAAGTCAGAAGTTATCTATCCGGTGGCTTCTGAGACTACTAAAAGAAAATGGGCTGGAGCAGTTTAGAAATCTAAGAGCAAGACTCCTAGGCAAGGGGGAGGTTGCTTATTCACTGTTCCCCTGGCAGCCTTCTGGTACTATTGAGCTCAGCCTCTTCCTGACGTGCAGATGACACTGAAACACAATTAAACAGAAATACAGGCTGGAGAGGCTGAATGTATCAGGGTAGCAGTGGCAACCAGCTGTCAGCTCTTATTAACTTCTGCATAAAACATACCTTGAGTGCGGTTTGTTATCAATTACTTGCCGAAATGAAACAACTGGGGCAAGGCAAGACTGCTGCTCACGTGAATTAAAGTGATTGGTTGATTGATCAGGGCACCTGTTGTAAATCATAAGCTCTCCTAACAATCACCAGACGGTGGGTGGTTTAATTTGTAAACAAAATCCATGTCACTGCAGAATTGTTTTCGCAGGAGATGAGCATTGGAGTTCATTTCTAAATTGAGTTCTGTTCTTGCTGTTTACGTAGGACAGAATTCAGCTCACTTTAGAAAGATAAGCACCTTCTTTGGGCCCAAATGCCCAGGTCAGTGGTGTTATTTGTCTGTAACGTGGCATCTGATGCGGCCCAACCCCTGGCCCTCTTTGTGCTCATGGGTTTGGGTCCAATAAGAGAGCAGGAAAGAGTTTTCTCAGTGACCATTGATTATATTGCCATTTTAATAACCAAATGAGATAATCCCCTTCAGGCTCCAGCACAAAATGAGACAGGCATTATTATCCTCAGGTGACAGATGAGGAAACAAGATTCAGAGTTCAGTGAGGTGTCTAAGATCGCACAGCTAGCACGTGAGAGAATAGACTTTGCTTGGTTTTATAGCACAACCCAAGCTCTCTGTTGAGTGTTTTTCTGACTTATGTGATGATGGGGTATATGGAAAGTGACACTCAGGTGTCCACTGACACCTGAAGTAGGTTTCCAGAGGTGTCATGGCTTTTCTGACTGTTCATAACACTCTGAATGCACTGCAGCCCCACTGGAACAAACACTTCCTCCCCCCATTTTCCTCCCCCAGTTTTCCACTTGGCATCTGTGCAGCAGTCACGCAATGACACATTCTCTTAACCGGTCACCAGGATTGAAACAGGGTCACCTTTATGGCATTCTTTTTTTTTTCTCTCTCTCTCTCTCTAGTTCCTGTTCCACCCAAATCTGTGACTTCTCTAATGATGAATAAAGATGGCTTCTTGGGAGGCATGTCGGTCAATACCGGCGAGGTATTTTGCTCAGTCCCGGGCCGTTTGTCTCTGCTCAGTTCAACCTCAAAGTATAAAGTAACTGTGGGAGAAGTTCAGAGAAGGCTTTCGCCCCCGGAATGCCTCAATGCATCTCTCCTTGGCGGCGTCCTCAGAAGGTAAAGACTCTCAAATCACTTTATATTAGGGGTGGGGTTGGAGAAAGTTAGATCCCAAACTATTGCAAAGTGCCACGCAGTTGCCTAGCAACTGGCTGTGCTGCGCTCTCAGAGAGCTCCAGCCGCCACTTGCTCCTAGCGGCGCCAAAGCATTGTGGCCCTCAGACCCACGCCTCGCCTCCTGTGCACTTGTGATGCGAACGCTCAGCTCGGCCCTGGGAAACTTGACCTTTGCTGTTCTGCCTGGCACCGGGCTCCCCCCCAAGACCCGGAGACTTCTAAGGGTGCAACCCAGGACCTATATACACACAGTCATCTAAACTAAGTTCCAAAAAGCAACTCCTTTCATACCTTCCATATAATCTTTGATGTTTCTGTAGTTTAGTATATATTTAAAAATACAGTTGGCTATGGCTAACTTCATCTCACACACAACTCAGTGAATGCACTGTGCTCAACAGTGAAAACTTTTCTAGATTCTCAAAACCTTTCTCTCTTTTTTTTTTTTTTTTTGGTGTGGGGATTGAACTCGGGTCCTTGCGCTTGTGCAGCAGGTGGTGAAACAACTGAGCTAAATTCCCGGCCCTCATAACCTTTCAATAACACCACCACCAATAACAATTACACTAGTCTAGAAATATAATTATTATTTGGAGCCTTCTAGGTGCTCCCCAATATTCCAGCCTGCAAAGTAACCCTTCCTCGTGGAAATGAAGAAAGAGATGGCTTTTAAAATTTAAATTCTCCCCCAAAGTCCCTACCAACTCAGGGATCCATTAGCACTGTCGCTGAAATGAAAGTGATTTGGAGGCAAAACTTTTCAAGTTAACCCATTTTAGAGGCTGAAAGTCCCTTTCTTTCCTGAAAGTAGCTGTGTGTGGAGTACAGCAAGAGAGGTTATAGTAGTTTTCTTATTTTTTGCTCAGTCTTTAGGACATACATAGAGAGCCTTGGGAGAAATTAAAGATGTAGGTGTGACCTAAGAACCTTCTTATTTTAAATCCATTTGTTCTCCCTACTTTGTTTCAGTTTTCAAGTTTGGCGTTTGCACTTGAGAATGAAGAAATTCTCAATCACTCCCTGAGCATATGTACATACAACCTGTTATATGATTAAATGAGATAACCAACAGAAAGTGCGTATCGTATAGCGGCACTCACAAACTTGTTAGTTTTACTGTTACAAGAACCATCATTAGTCACATATTTTAATCTTTCCTCCTAAAATATCTGCGATACATACAACACTTGACCTTTTCCTGTAAAAGCCTACCTGTTTCCCTAAGTGTCTCGTCCTTTCTGAACCAAAGGAGAGCCCTCCTTTGCAGCAAAGTTGTTTGTGCACGGTTTCTGCTGTCCTCATTGGCTCCTTGACAGGCAATCAACTTAGGAGTGCACGTACTTGTGTGTGCCTGTGCGCACGTGCACGTGCACACATGTGCTTGCGCGATTTTTACCTTCTCCGGACCCACAACCTACATCTTAATTATTCCCATCTGGTATCATTTTTTTTTCTCCCAAAATAAAAAAAAAGAAAAGTGCAGTTTTTTTATATGCTGTATTGCAGAAATTAAGCAAACCTCAGCAAACTATCAGCAAATAACCAAAACGGAGGGGGGAAAAGTGCTAACCTCAAGTTAAAACCTCTTCAAGCTCCACTGGGCTTTAGATTGCTAAGTCTAAACTTTGTTTCAGAAACACTCTGAGGTTAATCAGAATGTTAATTCTTGCAATTTCAGAGCCAAATCGAAAAATGGGGGGAGATCTTTGCGAGAAAGGCTAGAAAAAATCGGTTTGAATTTACCCGCGGGCAGGCGCAAAGCAGCGAATGTCACGTTACTCACCTCCCTGGTGGAAGGTAAGCAAGACGTGTGGCTGAGCTTAACTGTCGGCTGGAGGCTGACATTTTCCATGTTTCATGATTAACTGGAAATCATTGTGAGATTGTTGTGCCCTTATGAGTTGATGTCAAGCGGCTGCTTGAGAGAAATTCAAAGTTCCTTTTACTTAGAGCAAGCCAGTGGTTACAGAGAGGCTAAAGGAGGCACAATAAAGGTCCCCATACTCTGAAGCATGGTCAGGTCCAGTCTCCAAGCCGGGGCAAGGGTCATTTCTGTTGCCACACAGCATTTGAAACACCTAATGTGCGAACTCTTGAAAAAAGAGAAAGTCTATAAGCAACCATTGTACCCCTTTCTCTTCCCAGGTTTTACCTGTGAATTGCTGCTATTGGAAAACACATTGCATTCATGACCCCTAATGACCATTTTAAAATGCATGTCACTGCCTGTCCCCTATCTCTTGCTGATTACCTGGGACTTACTGAAATACTGATAGCTTAGTAAGGCCAGCTATGCATAAGAGAAAAGTGGGAAGAAGTGATCAGAAAACATGGAGGGGAGTCAAGGATGATCTCCAATGTAATTTCATAAGTTGTATATTAAATGGCCATGATTGTAGCAAGCACCTTTAATTTGCATATATATATATTTATGTCATGTCATAAATAAGACTATCTACATACTTGAGTACAAGAATATCTCCATTTGAATTTGTGGAATGGGAAACAGAAAATACAGCTCGATAATCCTAATGGAGGAAGATACAGAATTTTCTTCAGAGTCTACTTTGTCAATCCTGGGTTTTTTTCCATTTTGGTTTTTACAGATATGACATTATGACACTCCTGTAGGGAATCAGATTCTGGAGGAGTATGTTTTAGAATATTTAAGCAGCAACCATAATGTCATCACAGTTATAGACTTTTCTTGCACTTTGCCATCTTTAAGGCAAAGTTGCTTGGCCCAAACTTACCCTCTGGAGTCAGCAGCCAGCAAATTTCCAGGCCACACTTATTAGTAGTTAATTTTGAGCTTGGGGGTCTCACATTTTGCCCTTCAGGGAATTGCTAATATCAAAATCCTCATTTTGAAAAACAGTCAAGGTAATCTTAGCCCAAGACAAGGATTCTGGTGGAGAAGAGAGGAAACTGGAAATCCCAATGAAATTCCAATATTTGGTTGGCAGTTTTCAGCTTTATGAATCCTTATAAACATCATGCCTGAAGTCTTTTGTTGTTATTATGATAATGATGATTAAAAGTAAGTCATGCTCCTTAAAAATAATTTAGCTATGGGATAATTCAACATATCTCTTTTTCATGTCTATGATCTTTCTTGAAACCCCTAAGGCTGTGCTGTAACGGGTAATAATGCTTTATTTGAAAGGGGCTTCTCATAAGCTCTGGAATACCTTCCATGCCCCATTTTTCTGAAGCTGCATCTTTGTGCAATAGAAAGTCTTTAAGTAGGAGGAAGATGACAGAAACCTCTGAGGGAGAGACCTGAAAGCTGGCTAACAGGAAAAGTGACAAGGAAAATTCTCATTGCTGAATAGAAATGCTCTTTCCATACACACTTTACGTATTTTTAAATATTCATAGACATTTATACACATGGATTTGCTTATATGTATTGGTTTTTAATAAGAGATTTTTTTTCTTAATACAATTATAGGGAGATGATGGCAACTCTTAGATTTTATTTAAAGCAGGATGAAACATTGCTTTAAAAAGAAGATGGCATCTGGCTGGTATATTTAGCCAAATGTCTAGGTTCAGTTGTAAGTGGACTCATATCTGTTGCCCCACTTTTCCCATTGTAGGAGGCCCCATAGCTATTCAGGGGATGTCTAGATAGGACTTGGCTCAAGGAGAGGCTGGAAAGAGCAGCAAAAGTAAAGTTTATCCCAGAACTTTAATTACAGATTCACAATCTTACCTACTCTGAGTATCTGTCTCATGTTTGCCTTTGCCTCCAACACCTGGTTTGACTGGAAATACTAACAGAGTTCCTCAGGGTTTAACTCTTGCCCTGAGATATATAGGGTCTGGGTACTAATTCCCTGCTGGTTTCTTTGTCAGGAGAAGCTGTCCACCTAGCTCGCGATTTTGGGTACATTTGTGAAACAGAGTTTCCGGCTAAAGCTGTCTCTGAATATTTGAACAGACAGCACACGGATCCCAGTGACCTGCACTCCCGAAAGAATATGTTGCTGGCAACCAAGTGAGTAGCTCAGGCCCTGGGGCCTTATGTTGACTCCCATCCTGCTGGGCCACCCATTTGGGAGAAGGTGGTAGGGAGCAGCAGTTTGGGGATCCTCTGTGAGGAAGAAGAGGTCCTCCTTTTGTGGCAGCATTACAGCCAGTGCAACCAGGGCTAGGAAGCCATCCCAGCTCCCTCCGGGATGGACAGAGTTGATGGGCTATGGGCTTGTCTCTGTCCTCTTCTCTCTTTCCACTTCTGGCTTTATTAATCTGAATGTGGGGTTTTCACAGGTCTTTTCTACAAGCCCCCGGGATGTCAGGCAGAACTTTTCCAGGCCTGGAAGGTGTATATGACTGTCCAGGTTTCAAGTCTGTCTCCCTGCCATCTCCATACAGCCATGCGTGCTTGCCCAAGGTGTCTATATCTCACCTACCTGTACCCATCTCTACCCACGGCTCTAATTACTCCGCTTCCAACGTTGCTGTTTGTCATCTTCTACAGACTTGTAAAATTTACTGCACTTCCAGAGGGGAAAATAGTAAATCTCTGGCTAAATTTAGGTCTAGAGCTCATTTGAACTTTTACAGTGGGTTTTCTATTTATTTGATTTACTCCTCTCTTTGGCTTTGGTGTCATATTGTTGGTGTTTTATGGCCAGCTCAGGCCTGCAGTGGGCGGCGCTGCGTGCGCCCGCACGTTTCTCTCACAGACGCGACCTAAACAGCGGCGCTCATTTATTTAGTGCTCCAGGACGAGGTTTGTTCGGTTGACAGCGTAATTTAAAGAAATATATGGAAGGCTGAAAAATCATTTGCTCAAATTTGTCCAGATGTTTTTGAGACGTGATTGGAATTTGATTGCCCCTTTCCGCAGGGTCAAAAAATATTAATGTCCCAGAACTTTAATTGCTTACAGACCCTGGTTTGGGCTTTGAAGATTTAAAATGTTTGACTCTAAGCATTTGTTCTCACTACAGAATTTCCTTTTTGGCACTTTGGTAATGAGTACAAACTTGAGGAAAGACGTTAACCATGTCTCCCAATGATCAAAACCTGGCATCCACCCTCTTTTACGAAGGCTTTCCTCTGATGTACAGCTAGTAACACAATAGATCTTTGTCAGTAGCTTGCTCTCCGACCCCCTGCCTTGGTGTCTTGGAGGTGAGAGACCTGTTATACTTTATAATAGAGGAAGGGTACTTCAGGGGAAAATAAAAATAAAACCAAGGTGTGTAAGTCAGATAATAGGATTCTGCAAACACCTCTGTAGTTCCCTAAGGGATGCTCCTGACTGCCTGGCTCTTGCAGTCTTGTTTTTCCTAAGCCAGCACTTTTCAACTTGGGTATCCGAATCATCCAGGGAGTTTTCTTAAGGCATTTATGCACAGACCTCTCCCCAAACCCTCTAAAGTGGAATTGATGGGGGACAGGGATTTGGGAGTATGTATCTGAACCCCCATAGGTGATTCTGACGTATCTCCTGCTGAAGAACTGCCCTACTGAGCTCAAAACAGTCTTCTTCCTAGTTGTATGGGAGCATTTCGAATGGAGACACAACATGAGAGGGGCAAAAGAGGGCACCTGTTAATGTTCTCTACCCACCCATCTCAAAAATCAGCAGTCCTGCTGCTGCTGCAGATGCGCAGGGGAGGAGGCATTCCCCAGTTGGGTTTAGTCACTAACCCTGGCCAAAGTGTCTCCACCAGGGGAAAGGGTGCCTCAACGTCCTTCAAACACAGTAACCTGCCCTGTTTCCCTGTTGGCCAGATTGGGTGTTGCTACATCTCTTAGGCTGTCCCATGGGGGTCTACGCAGAGCTAGACTGCCTTAGGTTTGCTTCTCTTAGAATCCTCAGATCCACTGGGCAGGTGGAGGCAGGCCCACAGAAGTCTGACAGTCTCTGAAAAGCTGTGGCTTTTGGGGTGCTATGTCTCAGTTGCCCAGCACAGCCAAGCCATTTGACCTGCAGGGCTAAAGCCCTCCACTCACTTCTTACATTAAAAATTTGTCAAATAAGCTCAATCCGGCATTAGGCATACAGGATTTCTAAGACTGGATTTCTCTAAATTGTAGGTGCCTTGAGGAAATAAAAACCTTCAACAAATAAAAATCTGGCCTCCCTAGTGTCTTAACAGTTTACCTTTAGATTTTATTTAAACTATGTGGGAATCCTTTCATATATACAAGAATCTTGTTACATAAAGACTTTTAGTAGACCATACTTGCAAAGTAGAAAGTGGAACAATTTTTTTAAAAAGAAAGAAGAAAATCTTTCTCTCCCCACATACTGCAGGTAAACAGGTTTTTGCTTTGAATGGAATCAGCATTCTCTCCCAGAATAAACAGTTTCTTGCCCTGGGCCATGCAAGGCTCGAGCAATCTGTTTCAGTGCCAGGGACAGGCTTGTGGCCGAGGGCCTAAATCTTTCAGGGCTTTTTGTGTCTGATCTCCAAGAGGTGGGAGAGGCAAGAGAGAGGAGGGGGAAAGGACGCAAAGGAATGCCAGGTAAGCGCTTACAATTATACAATATACAAAATCTAAAGCTATAGAGCCTAGTGAATTTTACAAAGCAGAACCGACTCAATCCTGGAATGGAGGGACTGAAAGAAGAAAAAAAAGGCAAGACTCAGGGTTGGGAGGGAGCACCTTCTTCCCCACCCCAGCTTTCCTTCCAGTCCCAGCTGCTCAACAAGGGAGTGAGCTAGGAAAGGAAACAGAGCGGAAGCGCCCACATTAGCCTCCCTCTCCAGCCGTCGGGCGCCTCTGGGCTTGTTTGAGCGTCTCCTTTCTAATGCCAGTGACAGCAAAACTCAGGGTGATTTTCTGTTCCTCCTCCCCCACATTGCAGGCAACTTTGTAAAGAATTTACGGATCTGCTGGCTCAGGACCGGACACCGATCGGGAACAGCCGGCCCAGTCCCATCCTGGAGCCGGGGATCCAGAGCTGCCTCACGCATTTCAGCCTCATCACGCACGGCTTCGGCGCCCCGGCCATTTGCGCAGCGCTCACGGCCCTGCAGAACTATCTCACCGAGGCGCTCAAAGGCATGGACAAGATGTTCTTGAACAACACCACCACTAACAGGCACACGTCTGGGGAAGGCCCAGGTAGTAAAACTGGCGACAAGGAGGAGAAACACAGGAAATGAAAAAAAAAAGTTTAAAAAAGAAGGAAACATGTTTTAAATACAAAAGGAAAACAGAAAAATTAATTTTAGCTTTAAAATATTGGATTGGCTCTGGAAGAATTATATTAGGTAGAATATACTTACAATCAAAATTTTAAAAAAAGAAAGCTAAATAACATTTTTTAAAAAAAAATCCTGAGGCATACAGCGGAGCAACAATATCGGTTCTCAGTGTCTATTTCAAGATACACTTGGAGACAACCGTCCGGATTTTCCACTTCGGTTCTTTCGAGCTTAGTAATACTGATAATAAAAGAAAACAATGATTCCCCATTTGGAAAACAAACCTAAGACTAAACATGAGAAAACGCTAACTTATTGGAAGAAAATCGGAGAAACGTTGGTGTCAGAGCTTTGAGAGCTGGTTGACTGAGACGCATGAACTTTTTAATTTTTAATGTTTTTTTAGGAAACTTTGGTAGTCCCCATTCTCCATTTCACCTGGCCCCTCTCCCACCCACCCTTTTCTATGTAGCCCTCCTTCCTGATACTGTTGTGGGGTCCTGTGGGATGCAAATGAGTATAGCCCTTTTGCGTGGTTTCCGTCCCTGTGCTCCCTGGCCCAGCCTGTGTTACTAACTCACCATGCCCTGTTCCCCCGAGGTTTGTGAAGTAGGGAGGGGCTGGGGGCGGGGGGCTGCAGCTTTGGGAGACGTGGCCGGGCAGAGGCTCCCATGGCTGTGGAAAATCAGGACCAATAAGCTGATTCAGACTCATCATCCATTCCTTTCAGAAATATTACTAGTTCCCAGCCTTCCCAGCATCTGCATACCGAGAATCTTGCATTTGTTATATTTGTGTCATCTACCAATTTTAAGAACTATAGTAAAACAAACAAACAAGCCAAAACAGTATGAATACGTTGATTAGTATGTAATCCCTTCGGAGGGGTATGTACCATTTCATTCTCTTCTGTTTTCCAAAGCTCTGCCCGCATGGTTTATGAGCTTCTTCAAAGAGGACTTGGGCTTTCTACACAATCTATAAGGTACTGAGAAAAAAAATTCCAATCCTTTTTAATCAAAGCTTGTGTGTCAGAATTCTGCAGGTGCACTTCTTTAAAGAAGCTCAAAGGGAATAAATAGAAAGTGGCCAGTATGGTGGAAGCAGCTTTGAGTCTCCTTGCTAACATACTCAACACCAGAATTCCAGCGGGGGTAGAGCTGTGAAAAGCAAATTTTAGGGGAAAAGTGTAGGGGTTCTTGGAACCCTGTATTCTAACAGTATTGCCCTTACTTAAAATAGACTTAATTTCCCCAGGCTCTTCGGCGATTGCTGTTTTAATGAGAGGGGGGAAAACGCAGCTTTTCTAGTGAGGTGGGGAAGAAAGTGACACAAACTCTCATGTTTCTGCAACAATTGCTTTCTTACAAGATGCTTTATGAGTAAGGCACTTTCCCCGCCCAGAGGTGCACTTGTTTTGGCATATAATGGTAAAATAATGCATAGTGAAAGGCAATGTAGTTCAGCTTTGAATTTTGCCACTGGGACTATTCCCGGTGGATAAAGTTTCATGCATCTAATATTTCCCACTCTGGCAGCCCAGATCCTTTCTGGGGCTCCATCTTAGTGTTATCATCAAATAAAATCTGGATTCCATTATCAGAGGTTCCCAAGAGCAGTGAGAAATTCCCTGGGGTCGCGGTGGGTGAGACAGGTCTCTAAATTTAGTGTAGATACAAGCACCTCTTTTAAACAAGGTGTGCAGGACCTCTGCAACATCCCTTGATGACAATCCAGATGTTGTTCTGGAGGATTTATCGACAGAACAAATTTATATCACCTGTGCCCTCATTTTTTTCACAAACCCCTCCCGCCCCCTGCCTTGGGTGAAGGTGAGGGTTGGGCTTTAGGAACCTGCTGAGAGCTATGCTGGGGAAGGGGCTGGGGGTAATTAGAGAGCTGGTTTCAGGTGACTAGGAGGTCCGAAAAGAAAAGACTGCAGTTCCTCTTCTCTTAGCTCCTCCTCAAGCCTGTGGGTGTGCAGGGAGCAGCTCTAGACGTGTTCGGAGGAATGCAAAGGCCAGGAACAAGGCATTATGGAAAGTGTAGCCACTCGTCTCTCCCCAGTTGAGAAGCCTGCAGCTTTGTCCGAGGGCCTGGACGCTTGCGTTAGATGTGTTCGGATTGCCCAGGGCCCGGAGAAACCACACTGAAAACCGTCGTCTCCTTTCCTTGCAGGGCAACGCGCCCCACGCGTGTGACCTGCGAGAGACGCGATGGACGCGCCTCGCTCTTACTGTGCAGGTCCTGAGATCGGTGGGCCGCTCGCGCCCAGTCGTGTTGAGGACATAGAATCAGCCACTGCAGGGGCCGCCGGCCGCACCGGCCCTTCGCGCTCTCGGTCTCACCCTAAGGGCTAAGGCGACCGAGAATGCCCCGCGCTCCAGTAGGTAAAGGGGCGGCGCCCCGCGGACTGCAGGCGGGGAGGGGTCCCAGGGCTGTGTACGCCCTTTGCCACCCGCGGTCACTCCGGGAGCCCGCTCTCGGACGAAGAGTGGCCTAGAAATGTCCAAGGAATCAGAAGCTTTCCCCTTCTCTCAGTCAGGACGGAAATTCTCTCCACGCTCACGCTCCTTAGGAGGGAGACTGAACGAGAATGGTATCACTTAGGGGTATCACTTGTCCTTGCAGGCTCCCTCTTCCCTCGCCCTCCTCGGTGCATTAATCTAGACCGGGTCGGGTGTGCCCCCGCCCTCCCCGCAGCCCGCCGCGTGCAGTGGCCCTCGGTCCCCTCCTTCCCTCTTTTCAAGTAGGATCCCCGCCCTCACCCTGTTGGTTTCACGTCAGCTAGGGCCACTACGTTTATCTGATAATTGAGTTATTAAAGGATTTGGTTTCCTTGGGCTAATAAATCAATAAACAGGATTAACGCAGGAGTTGCCTTTTAAATCAAGGAAAATGTTTAAGGCGAGACCCTTTGAGCTTTGTTTTCAAACCAAACAGGTGAGCTGCAGCTCTTTCCCCAGCCCTGTATTCTAGACTTTTTAGCCCTGCCCGCTGCCCCCTCTGAAATGCTGTGTCCCAAACCAAAATAAGACCTGAGGACCGGAGGCAGGAGTCAGGATGTGGCAGCGCCACTCTCGAGCTTGGCGCTTTGCAGGTTCCGCTAGAGGTTCCAGACGTCTCCGGGCCATTGTCTGTCCAGTTCTGCGTCCTGCTGCAGGGGTGAGGTCTCAGGGGAAGAGCAGGGGTCTGTCCTAGGTGGGCATTCTATCTGGAAGGGATCTTTAACTTCTCCCCCAAGCAGGAACTAATTTTCTCTCCTCCCCTCCTCCGAATCATTCTGCATTTTCTTTCCTTCTTTCTGGCCTCCACATCCTTAGCTTTCTCTACCCTCATCTGAAGACCTAAAGAGGCTTTCAAGGACTTGACTTTGGTTTTCTTTGGCCAAGGAAACCACTCTTTCTCAAGCAATTATTTCATATCCTATGAAAACTTTGGTCCAATGGAAAACCTGAAACTGAATTTATGTACACAGTGCTCCTCCAGTACAATGCGTTCCTAGTTAGAGTGTTCATAGAGAATTTGCCATCACATCTGATATTCTGTACTTGCAATACATTATGTGGAAAGGAAATGATAACCTTAAACCATCTGATGTTGCCTCAACAGCCCAAAAGTGTTTTCCCTCCTTTGCAGATGTATATTAAATTATTGGCATAAAAAGAAACATTGAAATTAGTATTTTTTTTAATGGAATGAACACCATCCTTCTTAAAATTCCAAAATCTACTCCTTTTGGGTTGGTCTCTAACTCACTAACATTGCTTTTGCCACACAATCGAGAAATATCAATCTATTGGCTCTTCATGAGAAGAGCTCTGGAGGCTATCCATGTTAAGTTTGTATATATTTATTTATGCTTAATTTAATGGGAATGTGTAAATATGGCGAGCAAGTAGTTTGGGATTATTTATCTGTGAATCTATGCTTCTGTGAATGGGTGGTTAAAAATAAAACCGCTTGACCCTAGGTAGAATCCTATCTGAATTTTTCTGTTCTTTATAGACAAACTGTTATGGTATTGGATAGAAATTGGTTTATTGTCCAGTGTTGATCTGATTTACATAAATAAAAAGATTGTTGTGTTTTTGTTGTGTGTTCATCATCAGTTTCTTAAATATGGATATAGTTGGACTCTATAGACAGAAACAACATATAGCAAGATGCTTTTTCTTTTTACTCCCCTCACTAGAGCACACACTGTGTTTTTTCCTTACAAAAGAAATACAATAAATTTTGTCAGAAATAGGAGCACTTGTTTTCACTAAGAAAGGCTTTCTATTCTTTTTTCAATTCCAAATCATCACTCCTCATCCCAGATTTCCAGATTTGTAATGAAAGTTCACACTAACTGCATCTTTTGGTTTATTTTGCCCTTTGAAAGATGAGAAGTCTAATTTACTTCTCAGGTAACTAAAGGATTCTAGGTCCAAGTGAAAGATGATGGGCTACTTCCAGTGGGGTGACATTCTGGCAAGGTGTTCCCAGAAGGAGATGGTGTGGGAGAGAAGTCTACAGGGCTGGTGTGGGATCCTGCACCTCACTACCTGGGATCTGGATGAGGCAACTACACCTTTTCAGGGCTGAATTGACTCTGACTTCTTCAGTAGTACAAGACATTTCACAATTAAATGAGGGGAAACTCCCTTGTCCAGGAAGAGGAGTAAGTTGCACATGTCTTAAGAAGCTATCTCTAACCTTAGGTTGAAAGACTCCTTAGAGAAGCCAGCTTTTCTTATTTGGGTTTATGGTCTCTGACAAACTGCGGTGACTAAATAACTCAATCTGTATTTTACCGGAAGAATAGGGTATCTTTTCTGAGGCCAGGAAAGCAAAACCACCCAAGATGTCATGCACTTTGAAAAGTCACTGCTTCTTTGGGGCCTCATGGTCTCTTTCAGTCAAAGATAGACTTCTTAATGCCCCTTCCCTTCATCAACATTGCCAAGTTTATATATAAAAAGCAGAAACAGCAGCATGGATGCATATTTAAGTACAATAAAAAATACTACATCTTAATGATCTCAGATTCTTTAAAGTGCTTAGAATATAGCTGGTGCTCAGTTAATTAACATGCTTTCTATATACATTTTCTGGTTTTCAGGTCAATCTTTTCCAATTGGACTTATAGGTAAAGGCAGAAGGGCCAATGAAATGTTTAATGTGAGATTCCCCCCTCCCCATCTTATTAATTTATCATGGCTAGAATTATAAAGAATGGAATCAAAGAAAAAGAAAACAAAATAAAAAGAGTAAGGGAAGTAGAAAGTAACAAGGAAGAAAAAAACCAAAGGAAATGTGATTATGAGGGTGAGCAATTTAGTTTACAGAAAATATATAGTGTATATGCCTTAGTTTTTGGCTCAATTGTGTTACACTGAGTTTCTTTTTTATTGACTTTGCAGGGTGTGGGCTTGGTTACCACGGAGCCTGTGCACAGGTAGTTGTGGGTGATTTCTATATCTATGACAAATTTTCCTAAAGAACATTAGTACCATTCCTGGACAGAGAGACAAGTAATCTATTATCCCACTGTGGTGGTCATCTATTATGACCACCAGTCGCCCTCCACCATCATTTGGCAAGGAGACGTTAAGGCAATTACCTTTACCAGGAAAAATCTGTCAAACCCGAGGTCCCCAGGGGCCTAAACTGTGGGAAAAGAATTGGAGGAAAGACCTGGAAGAAGGGGAAAGGAAAGAAAAAGAGGCTGGATATTCTTGCCCAACAAAAGTCCCTGGCTTCTTGTCACAGTTCCCCAGTCTGGTTGTCATAGCCTTGTTGAGGCAGTGCCGGGAGTAAGGAAAGTGATAGGTAGTGACTAGGCCGCTGACCAGTGGGGACCTTCATTAACCCTGGAGGAGTTGAAGGTGCTGCCCTGCCTGCCAGCCGACTAGGTAGGCAGTTGTTTTACAGTGCCCCGGAAATTCACTCACAAAGCCAGTATTTGCTGTTTAAGGTCTTGATTAAAAGTCGTGCTGGGAGGGAGATGTGATTTTTTTAAAAAGAGGCCATATTCTTTTTCTTCATTGGCAAATAACAGCTCCATGGGGCCCATCCTTGGGACCCTGGAGTCAGAAGTAGGAGCCACCAAAGAGTTGCTGGCCTTGTGGGAAGTGCGAGGCACCTAAGGTTCCAGGCGCAAAGCTGCCTGCCTTTCACGCTCCAACTTTCTGAGAGGTTGTGTCGTATTAAAACCTCAGAAATTAAATGTGCAGCTCACAAGTCTATTAATTTTAGCTTCCCATTAATGTATTTATAAGTGAACCGGCACTGGCTCTATAAATACAGTCCTATAAAATTGAACTCTTTCCCATAAATCTTCCAAGTTGTTTATTTACATGTATTCCCTGGCCTTCTAAGGATCCTCGAGTAAACTTGGGGAAGACTCTGGCAGACCCGATCCCGGATGAAGTGATTTTACTCCTTCCTTCCCACTCCAAGACTTATCGAGGGGCAAAGGACAGGACAGGAAAGGAAAGATGAAAACTCATTTTTCCTTCTCTTTCCTTGTTTCCATCCCAAACTCGAACTCTCCATATTCCCCATCACAAGCTCCGCGTTGATTTATACCGTCATAAACAGCATTCTCGCGACTGCAGCTCCTCTCATAGCTTGAGGTGAGCTCCTTTTTCACTTCTCTGGCAGCCACTGCTTTAAAACCAAGCCTTATAAATAACCTCATGGGTTTTTTTCAAGATTGAATCACTCAAACGCCTTTCCCGTCCAGTCTCCTAGTTTAGGTTCCTCTATTTCCCTCCCCAAGGTCACAGTTTGAAGGAAGGCCACAGTTTGACGGAAGGCCACTGGCTTTTCCTTAGGTTTCCGGGACCCAGCCAGCAACAGCAAGCAGGAGGCTAGGTAAGAGCTCAGGGATATACCCTCGGGGATAGTGTCTGCGGCCTGTGTCCCACGTGCGCCGAGGCGAAGCGAGGCGCCCATAGCCCGAATCTAGGCACGCTCTGCCGTTGCTGGGCAGGGTGTCACCGAGCGCGCACGCGCCGACGCCCACGCACGCGCACTGGCGCACGCGTCGCAGAGCCCCAGGGCGCAACCCGAGCCTTCGCCTCCGCCCTCGGCGGCACCTGCACCCGGGGCCGCCTTGCCCTGGAGATGGAGGCGCTGGGTTTGCAAAAGGCTCTACCATGGGCAGTCTTTTTTTTTTTTTTTTCCTATTTCTTAAGGCGTTATGCTTAGATGGAGGGAGCAGTTTCACAGAAGTTCAGCTCATTTCACGCTGGTCACAAGATAGCAAGATCAGGCGGCGATTTTTCGCCCACTTGTGCAAAAACCTATTGGTTCCTGCCCACTCCGCTTTTGGCTTTTTCTTAGAAGGGCTGCAACCTTCTGGAGATGATTCAGGTGAGAGCCGTCCAGGCCCAAGTAGAGATCACATCCGTTGCCTAGAGAGAGACCTCTGCATAAAAACACTCTTTGAATGTTTAAAAACGCCCATAATGGCCAGTAGACTTATCAAAGCGTTACTTTCCAGGCTGCACGGAGGGCAGCTCTGGCAGTCATCTGCAACTCGACCGGTTAACGCCCCAAACGTACCTGTTCCGAAGATATTAGCAAATGTTTCAAGAATGTGGCTGTCGCTGTCAGATGTTATTAGCCTATGCTTGTTCACCAAGCCATTTGCTTAACTGGGAGGAGGGCATGACCACGGTATATATGCGTAGAATGTTTGGTGGTGGTGCGTGGGTGTCAGAGCTTGTTTCCTTTAACAATCAAATGTCCACGAAGTTATGCCGACATGTATCAAAGGGCAGATGAAAAGAGACTGGGGCATCAGCCGTGAGGTACAGAGACTTGGGAAGAGGAGCTTCTCTGAGAATCAGACAGCAAAGCCGTGCTCATCTACTTGGGGTGCAAACTAACCCTGAAGTTCTGAGATCTAGAAGCTGACATCCACACTCTCAAAGAGGTCAGCACCCATCTGATTGCAGGGAAGAGCTGATGGCTGCTTTTGTGGGCAGACTGAGACCAGTAAATCCAGTTTCTGGGGAGAAAGGGATTTTAGGTAGTGGCAGGTAAGCTCTGTCCAAAATGTCTGGGAAAATCCAAACCAGTGCAAAGAAAATAAGCATAATACCAAACCAAACTTCGGTGCTCCATTTGCTGACCCTCATCAAACAAGCAATGCACCCCCCGCCCCGCCAGTGCTAACTTTATGATCAAAGCATCAATCTTAGACCTAGATGAATTTTTTGTAAATATACCATCCCTAGTAAATGGTTTTGCCAAGTGACTAGGTGAGAGAACTTCTTTGAGGGAAATGTAGTTTTAGGGTTCTTTACCACTCCAATATTTCCATATCCACACTAAACAAAAAACAGCCACAACAGAGCAGTGCTTACCAATGTGAATTGTCTTTGCTGGGTAAGTCTCATGTGTTAAAGAAGAAAAATCTTTTTATTTATTTATTTTTATTTCTTAGGTTTCAAAGCTCTTGGCTTCAAAATAGAACTCTGGTTAGGCCTCCCAAAAAAATTGGAAACTATCAAGATTTGAGGCAAGGCTTATTCTTTTTTATAGGTTGTTTCACACACTGTGCTCTCCCTTTGGCTATTTTGAGGGTTGTAGGAGAGGGGCCACAGGCATGAGCTCTACTATCAAAATGGATCCACTAAGTGATTCATTCGCTTTTATGTTCAATCTAAATACTCTTTTTCTTCTGCAATGATAAGGGCCAGTCAAGACCATGGGGCCAAATAATCCAAAGAAGGGCCAAGCTGATCTGGGTCCCTGTGACCTTTCACCCTTCCTTTAATCCTCAGTAGTGAACATCTGTGTTTGGTGACTAGTGTCTGAAAATAATAAAGACAATTAGAGGATTTTCCATTTTATGTTTTTGTTTTTTTTTTCTGGGAAGGGGGGTTGTGTGCCAGTACAGAGAGGTTAAATCTTTGTTGATAATACTGGTTTGCAAGAAGAAATTAGAGAAATAACATTCGCTGAGCTTTGCCACTTCACAACGCCTTAGAAATGCAGTGTAGGAATTCCGTACACAGAAGCTATAGATAATTGATATTACTCCTTTCTTCCTCATCTTTATGAAGTCTGTGGGCACTTAAAAATCATATTCAG